CCCGTGTAGACCCCGCCCTCCACTCCCAATGCAGCCCTCCAGCCACATTGCACCCCCCCACCCGTGTAGCCACCCCACCTCCTCTCTCAATTCAGCCCCTTCCAGCCACACTGCACCCCTCATTCCCCACCCTTCCTGCTCTGCCTTGTCCACAGGGCTCACCACCCCAACACATGACTTATTTTTCGTGTCTTCCCTACTTGAAAGGCACTGTAAGGGCAAGGACTCCTGCCTATTTTGTTCACTGTTCGCAGAATCTAGACCAGCTGTATCTGTTGAAGAAATGATGAGATGAACCTTGAAAACTGTGCTTTGTGGTGAATCTGCCTGAGGAGGGTGGGGCTCCACCCCCATGGAGATTCACATAAAGGCTGCAGGGCCTCCCAAACTGAACGACTTGGAGAACTCCTCTGTGGGCAGAATACCTGTTTGCTTTGCTCCCTGGGACTGTGCTTAGGAGACCCTCTGCTAAGGCTACAGCATGCACAAGCTGGAAAAACCCTGAGCCCCAGCTGCCTCGCCGTCCTAGCCGTTCCCCTCCAGGGCCAGTCCCGCCGTCAGTCTGACCTGCAGCAGCAGACGAGCCTCCATGGCCTCCCTGCAGGTGAGGAAGTACGGCTTCATGAGCAGGATGTCCTGGCGCAGCTTCTGCAGACAAGGCGGGAGTGGGTGGGATTCCTCAGCCAGGACGCAGGGCTGGCCCAGCATGGGCCTCACAGCAAGCCCAGCTCACAGGCAGCTTGCCTCATGCCTGAGGGTCGGTTCCCCAGGAGGGACCCAGAGTTGAGGGCTGCAGCGAAGCACACGTTCAAACCACAGCTCCCGGGCCGGGCAGGACCTTGAGGCTCACTGACCCTTCCCTCCCCTCACCCGGCCCCACGGGCACACAACTGCCTAGGAGCCAGCAGCCTCAGGAACCACAAGCCAAACTTCCAGAGAAATCCCAGCTCCCGCCCCAGCCCTGGCCTTGGCAACTCAATCTGCGGCCACAGTCTCCTCCTGGTAAAACAGGACCCGGTGCCTTTCACCACCTCACAGGAGACTCGGTCACGTGCCGCCTGCCGGGACCGCAACTCCCATCTGCCCTCGGCTCCCACCCTAACTCCTCCCTCACTGCCAGCTAAGAGACGGGCCACCAGCCACGCACAGCCACAGAGCCCTTGAAAGTGGCTGCTGAGCCGTGAGATGGCCGTAAGCAGAGAATACACACTGCAGACAAAGGCATGGCGCAGAAAGAAAAGGGACATAAAATATCGGATTTCATGTTGAAATAGTATTCTGGATATATTGGGCTAAACAAAATACATTTTTTAAAATAACCTCACTTGTTTCTTTTCACTTTTTTTTTGAGATAGAGGTTCGCTCATGTTGCCCCGGCTGGAGTGCAGTGGGGCGATCTCGGCTCACTGCAACCTCTGCCTCCCGGGTTCAAGCAGTTCTCCTGCCTCAGCCTCCCATGTATCTGGGATCACAGGCACGTGCCACCACACCCAGCTAATTTTGTATTTTCACCATGTTGGTCAGGCTGGTCTCGAACACCTGACCTCAGGTGATCCACCCGCCTCTGCCTCCCAAAGTGCTGGGATGACAGGCGAGAGCCACTGAGCCCGGTTCTTTTTACTTTTTTAACATGGCTATTAGAAAATTTCATATTGCATTCATGCCTGGCGTAAGATTACTACTGCACACAGCTCCAGCACCTTCACAAAGGGCAGCCATGGCACCCAGATCACCCTAAGCAGGCGGCCTCCCTCCTCTGCTCAGAACCTCCCACAGCCCAGAGGAGAAGAGGGTGCTGGCCCAGCCCTAGGGCCCATCGGACACAGCGCTCCTGCCTCCCACTTCCAGGGCCCCAGCCTCACGCGAATCTCCACCAGCTCCTCCACGTAGTTGAACAGCAGCGGGTTGATCTCACGGAGCCTGAGCACGGGCCGAGACACCATCAGCGCCAGGTAGCGCATGCTGCAGCGGGATACCTGCGGGCAAGGCCGGGTGGCGCCTCGAACACCCGCCCAGGGCGCGTGCACCAGCGACACCCGCTCTCGGCCCCCGCAGCCAGTGACACCCACCGGGGGCACACGGGCTCCACACCCCACTGCCCTTCCTGCTCTCCTCTCCAGGGCGATGCCCCCACCTTCCAACCCCTACCTTTCGAGGCTCGAAGTCCCAGTTGTGCACCACGCGTGCGGGGATGACGGCCAAGTCGTTCCAGTGGCAGTGGCTGCAGTAGTACTGGCCGGTGTAGTCACACTGCCTGGCCTCGCTGGGCACACCCCCTGCAGGGGGCAGGGCCATCACCCAGTCAGAGGGGTGGGGAGGGTCCCTGCCTCACCAGAGCCCCCCGCGGCTTCCCAGCCTCACAGTCTGTCCTCCCATGGGCCACAGCCCTCAGGCAGACAGCCAGCCAGGCCAAGGGCTCCCTCCTGACTCACCCTATCCTCAGGTGGTCCCAGCGTCTTACTGCCCTGTTTTCTGATCAGTAAAGGGAGGTACAAACAGGGCCCCACTGTAGGGCTGTGTGGGGACTTGATGAATTAGCACCAGCAACTCTCCAGAAAGAAGAGCTGGTGCACACATGTGCGTGACAACCGTGTCATCTTCCCAGTCCCTGTGGATGAGGCTTTCTGTGACAAAAGGCTGCCCAGGGAGGCAGAGGCCAGGTCCCAGCCCTGCAGGTACTCCTCGGGGACCTGGGGGAGTCACAGGACCGCTGGAACCTCAGTCTGCTTCAGTGAGAAAGAATGCCAGCAGCAGGCCCGTGGGTCACTTTCCAAGGATAACAAGCAGGGATTGCCTCAGGGCCTCACTCCGCTGTCTGACTGATGGGTCCTCACACACCTGCACACCCAGCTCCCCTGCCAGGAACAGCTCCCTCACCCTCTTGTCTCCCGCCACACTCACGCAGAGAGATGGGCACCCGGCACTCAGCACAGCGGTAATCCTGGCTGTCCAGCCCGGTCTCGGGGCAGATGTTCAGTTCATATTCAGCTTGGTGGCTGACTTTGGAGCTCACACAGGGCTTGGAGATGAGGTTCAAGCACTTGCTGTGACAGCGGTAATAACACCCTAGGGTGGCCGGACACACACTTCTCAGAAGTAGGAAGGGTGCACCTGTAGCCCAGGCCACCCTCAGTCGCCCTGCCCCCTTCCCATGGGTTCCATTCCGAGGCCCAGATCAATTTAAGACCTCCTGTCACCAAGGGAAGCCTTAGAACCTCAAAGGTGCTCTTGCCCCTGGCCCCTGAGCCTTGCCCCAAAGGTGGCCCAGATTTGGTCCCTCAGCTTGACTCACATGTCTGGGGTCAACCTGCCACTCCCACCCCAGACCCAGTGTGTCCAAATGGAATGAAAAGAACTCCCACCCTGCCCTCCCAAGCCCCTCGGCTTCCCATCCTGGTTTCAGCGGCTCCAACCTTTAAACATCATGAGTTACCCTGACCCCTATCTCTCTGGGTTTTTTGTACTTTTTAAGAGACAGGGTCTTGCTCTGTCACCCAGGGCGGAATGCAATAGTGCAATCACAGCTTACTGCAGCATCAAGCTCCAGCAGCAATAACACCTAGGGTGTTATTACCTCCCATCCGAGCATCTAAAAGCCCTAGTATTACAGGTGTGCGTCACCACACCCAGCCAGACTCTGTTCTCATCTGCCACCCTCCGTTCCCAAACCTTCAGCGGGCACCCGAGGGAGCTGCCTCTCACTCCCACCACCTGCCTCCCTCTTCAGTCCTTGCTCAACCAGCAGCCAGAGTGACCCTATTAAAGCCCAAGGACGTCCAGCTCCCACCTGTGGCCCCACTGCACTTAAAGAAAAGCCCCAACCACCTGAGCCCACCTCCCCCAGACACAGAGGTGCCGCCACACACGGCCCTCTGCTCTGCCTTAAATGCCCTGGACTGTGGGAAGAAAGCTGCCCAGGTGCCAAGGCAAGAGACTGAAGGCACGATCTGTCCCAGCATAATGAATAACTGACTGCTTAGCTATAGCAACGATATATTTACTGATTACTTATAGAAATGACACTGAATAGATATTAGATTCAATCACATGATCAATTACATAATAGTATTACATCATTATTCTCTATTAATCTCTGCTCTGGTGTGGGAACATTTTAGTCTTATAGTATAGACATAATCGGGTGAAATATAATTCAGAACTGAAGGGACACTGTGAGAAGTGATCAGGCTCCCTAGGCTCCCTGACCTTCAAGTTTTTGCCTCAAAGTCAGGTAATACGGTGACATTCTGCCCCAAACGCGCACACAATCTACCCTAACATCTGCCATTTCCTTTCCCTTTTTCTCCACTGTAATGACTGACACACCATGTAATTCACTAGTGTAATTTCCCATCCAGAACAACGCTGTCCAGGGTAGACAGTACAACTGAGGAAATGCATATTTAATTAATTTAACTTTGAGTGGCCCTGTGTGGCGGGTGGCCGCCACGCTGGACAGTGGGCCTGGAGGACGCAGGAGCTTGGGCCTCTCGCATCCCTCCCTCCTCATCTGGTCGCGGCCCACCTGTGCAGGTGTACCAGGTCTGAATGAGCCCCCAGATGATGGTGTTGCACTTGTCACAGGTCTGCTTGACACTCTTGCTCTTCTCCTTGTAGAAGCGGTGCTCCAGGAGCACTCTGATGTTTGGCTCATCCTCGTTGGGGTCCTGCAGACAGCGGGTCAGGGAGGGTCACGGGCGAGCTGGGCTGAAGCTCCTTTCCCTTTGCACTAGGCCCTCAACTGACTCCTTCCAGGCACCACGTATAGTGGAGACTGTGAGTGTCAGCACAATGCCACGCCCCTTTTCCCCTTTCACAGTAAACAATGATCAGCGGGGGAAGGCCCGCTACCTTTCCCAGCATCCCTTGCAGCAAGGTGCTGTGTAGGACTGCACAGGGCCACGGGCATGTGAGTGGGAGCCATGCAGCCTCTCTGGGCCAC